TTTAAATTTCCCGCCACAGCTTGTCCACGAGGAGTACAAAACTCAAAATGTCTAATAGAGCGCCCTCACCTTGTCCACAACTTCTTTCTTCGAATTTCGCGCATTCAGCAACAATTTACAGTATGTCTGTGGAACGAATCCTTTCCTTCCATCCGAAACTTGCACATAAATCCATTGATCGTCTCGGTAGAGCGCTTTTACTGTCGTGCCACGTGTCACACTAATCTCATCGGCTACCTGGAATGGAGCGCGTTTTCTATTTTCATATTTAATAGCCTTAAAATAAACATAGTCATGGATAAGCTCCAAAATTTTTGATTGTCCACGAGGAGTACAAAAAAGAGCAACTTTTGAGCAATTTAAGGTTTTCTGAAAATCTCAAATTACTCATGACTCGCTTATTTCTCAAACTTTCAAAATCAAACCTTCATTATATTGCTCAGCTAGCCGAGAGCTTTCAAATGAGCCTAAACACGACTAGATTCGCTTAGCTTTGAGTTTAAATCTAACAAACCGCGACGCGACCGCAACGCGTAGGTCAAAACTCCAAATAGCGCTAGACTAGTCGTGTTTGGGCTTATTTCGAAGCTCTCAGCAAGCTGAGCAAGATTTAATAAGTTTTATGACGAAAATTTCAAGAAATGAGCAAGCTGTGAGCTATGTGCAAATATGAGAACCTACAGTAGCCGTGAAGTTTTTGGTGAGCTGTCCCGGTGTATATGGATCAAAGTGTTCCACTTGCATACTATCCACCCAGCCGCCATTTTCCGGAGCTAAAAATATGTTTTTGAACATTTTTAGAAATTCTACAGTAATCCTCAAAAAGAGATGTTACCTCTCCCAGCCAAAACTTTCCAGAAAATGCTTCGAATTCCCATTTTTTGGAAAAATTAGAAAATTTAGATATTGTTGGGACAAGAAAAATTTTCGGCTCTTTTGGCTCAATGTTTGGAAAGTGTCAGAAAATTTCCCCGATTTGTTTGTTTTCGATTCCCGTCGATTTCCCCAAAGATTCGAAGAGTCGAAAACACCGGAAACTGAAAAAAAAACCTATTTTCTGGGTTTAGTTACTCAGGTAAACGATTCTGAACTAGATCTGACTTTATTCGGAATTAGATCTGGGTTCGTTCGTAAATAGAAGTGGCATGATCTAATACAGAATTTAGCTTATCTAATTCCGAACGAACACCGAATGAACTACGAACGAATTAGATCTAATTCCGAACAGACCAGCGGGATTTCGGAGCATCGTAGCGCGCACTTTTCAATTTTTGTTTTCTTTTCAACGCCATTCACTTTATTTATAATAAAATTTATTAAAAAAGAAAACAGAACAAGTATGAGAAAAAGAAAAACATAGATTAAAATGTAGTTATAGGAAATCGGAACGAAAATGAGGGGTGTGATACAAATGAATGAATGGGATCAGCAAAAAAGAAAACGATGAGATCAGCGAGAATAATGGGAACATTGAGATAAGAAAAAAAAAGTGACGAAATTTATGAAAAAAACATCTCAATTCGAATTCATCCGCTCGTCCATATTTTCGATTTTGAAAATTCTCTTGTCATAGTTTTCGGTTGTAGATAAGATGGATATTCTTTATGAAATGAATGTTGATTTAACTGAAAAAAGAAGATTTTGGCTTTGTGATGTTGATAATAAACTTACTTGAGCCATTTCAATATAATTTCCGTACTCAAATCTTTGCAAATCCAAATAAATTCATATCAGAGCAGTTGTTTTATACAACAAATCCCAAATTTTTGAATCGTTTTAATCGGGTCATGACACATTCGGTTGAGAGCCTGCAATTTCACGCATGTTTCTTTGTCCACCAGACTTTCGAAAACTAACCTGCTCATGACAAGACACGGCTTCCGAAAGTAAGGCCTTCTCGACTTGTGTAAATTGAGCTCACTATCAGAGCAATTTATCATCTCTTTTTTCTTGTTTTTTTCGGTGATCCCTTGCATCGTTTTTACGTAATCCTTCAAGCTGAAAAAGGCAAAAATTATCTTACCTGCAGAGTTTTCTCCGAATTTAAAATCTTCAAAATCGTCGTATTTGTGTCGATTCATAGAATAACTGTCTTCTATAGAAGTCGTATATATAAATTGAACTTTGAATATTCAGCTGTTCTTAAAAGAATTCACCTAATATTTTGCAAAAACGTGCTCAACACATTAAAATATGTTCCAGAAAATATAGTTTAAATAATTGAGCGAAAAAAAAGGCAAAAGTTGAGAGAAATACCCATTTTCCTGACAAAAAAAATTTAGGCCACCAAAAAACCAAAACGATTCATCCGCGGCAGGTAAGTCATTGATGGCGCATTTCTCGTGGCAACTTCGGTATTAGATCTAGTCCATATCTAATTCCGAATGAACTCAGATCTAATTCAGAATTTCAGAGTTATTCGTATCTAATTCCGAATGAAGTCAGATTTAATTCAGAATCGTTTACCTGAGTACAACGTAAGCGCGCTCTACTGAACGTTTTTAGTTTTGGACTCCTCGTGGACAAGTTATGGCGGGAAATTTGAAATTTTTGAAGTCCAGAGTCATGATTATACTCATTTTGAAGCTCACGATGAGCCGATTCCAAATTTGTAGGTTATGGAAATGTTTTTTCTCTTTTCTCTTCACTCCTCCTCCAGCTGAAGCTGCTTTGCGAGCAGCCTTGCTCGCCAGCTGCGCTCTT